TTCATTACATTCATAGGGTTTCTCTCCTGAATGGCTTCTATAATGTACAGTGAGGTTTGACATCCGAGAGAAGACTTTTCCACATTTACTACATTCGTAAGGCTTCTCTCCTGAATGAATTCTATGATGTATGGTGAGATACGACTTCTGAGAAAAGAACTTTCCACATTCATAACACTCATAGGGCTTCTCTCCTGTGTGTACTCTCTGGTGTCTAAAGAGGGATGAATTATGGGAGAAGGTTTTCCCACATTCGCTACATCCATAGGGCTTCTCTTCTGAATGACTTCTATAATGTACAGTGTAGTATGATAAATCGGAGAACAATTTCCCACATATATTACATTCATAGGATTTCTCTCCTTCTGGAATTGACTGGTGTCCGTCAAAGGCTGAATTTTCAAGGAAAGTTTTCCCACATTCATTACATTGATAGGGTTTCTCTCCTAAAGGAGTTGTATGATGGTCATTAAGATATGAGAATTGAGAAAACTTTCCACATTCACTACATTCAAGGGGTTTCTCATCCGTGTGTACTTTCCGATGTCTAATGAAGGCTGAATTCAAATTGAAGGTTTTGCCACACTCATTACACTCATAGGGTTTCTCTTCTAAATGGCTTCTATAATGTATAGTGAGGTATGACACTCGAGAAAAGAATTTTCCACACTCACTACATTGATAAGGTTTCTCTCCTGTGTGTGTTCTCTGATGTGTAATCAGGGTAGATTTTCGGTAGTAGGACTTTCCACATTCATTACATTTATAGAGTTTCTCTCCTGTGTGTGTTCTCTGATGGTCACTGAGGGCTGACTTGCGGGAGAAGGATTTCCCACACTCATTGCACGGATAGGGTCTCTCCCCTGAATGATTTCTCTGGTGGAGCGTGAGGTGCGTCTTTTGGCAGAAGGTTTTGCCACATTCACTACATTCATAGGGTTTTTCTCCTGAATGAGTTCTCAAATGTTGAGTGAGATGTAACTTCTGACAGAAGGTTTTCCCACATTCGTTACATTTATAGGGTTTCTCCTCTAAGTGTGATCTCCGATGTACAGTGAGGGTTCCCTTTTGGCTGAAGGATTTGCCACATACATTACACACATAAGGTTTCTCTCCTGTGTGAGCCCTCTGATGTATAATGAATTTTGACTTTTTACA